CAAGCAGAAGCAAGCATTTAAATTTGAAATGGAAATGGCTATGTTGCGGATGAGGGAAGAGCATGACCAACAGATCCGAGCCTTGTCGAATCGGCTGGGTGAATCCAATCGTCGCAACAATGTTAGCCAAGCAGGTAGAGATTCAGATGTGGATGAACGTCTTGACGCTGAGAACCCTCCCGTTGACCAAAACGCTGGGGGTGGTCCCACTAATGATGACAACGCCGGGGGTGGCCCCGTTATTCCTCTTAAGAATCGTCTTAAGCCCGATACGAGCGAGGATGAGAAAATAAAAGATCTCGAGAGCAAAATCAATGCTCTAATGTCTGTTCAAGAGGTGAAAAGGACCGGCATTCCGTGTTCCTATCCAAGAGAGTGGGATTTAATAGCATACCCGGCGAAGTTCAACCTGATTAACTTCACGCCGTTTGACGGGAATGGTTCGCCCACACAGCATCTGATCTACTTCAAGTCCTACTTGGGCATGATCTCCGGCAATGAAGCCTTGATGGTTCGATCATTCGTTGGCACCCTTCGCGGGCCCGCCTTTGATTGGTACCGCTGTCTCAAACCCGGAAGTATTAACAACTGGGACGATATGGAGAGCTCATTCCTCGGTAGTTTCTTTGATGACGACGACGAGGTATCCATCAGGACACTTTTCGATGAGAAACAAGAAGATGATGAGACAGTCGACGACTTCGTCAAACGCTTCAGGAATAAGGCAATGAACTGCCGAGATCCGATCACGGAGGACTTCATCCTCCAGACATGTCATAACAACCTATCTATTGAGATATTGGGAGTGTAGGCATCGAAAATTACCTATGGGTCTCCACGAATAGCTCAGTGTTAAAGAACGACAATGAACATCACTATCTGGTTCACAGGAGTTCGACTGATGTCGGTGAACGCTTGAAGTGAACCGACGAACTACGTGAGCTGATAGGATTTCGGAATAACGAAGACACAGGCTAATCGAGAACCCCGCGATGTTTACAAAAGGAACAACGCCCTTCGTGTCTCGTGGGAACAATGCGCTTCGTGTCTCATTCATTCTACAGATAATCCAACTATTGGAGCTGATAGAACTCCTTGTCGGCTTTCCAATGCATTTGGAATCACTCAGATCCGAGTTCAGACAAAGAAGTTACAGCGAAAACAGTCAAACGGGCATTAAAAACGTCTCAAAGTTGAACTGAGGCACCTACGGTGTCTCGGCCAAGTCGAGACACCCCAAGGGTGTCTCGGCCAAGCCAAGACACCCCTAGGGTGTCTCAGCGCGGATTTGGGCCCTTTAAGTGGTTTTAACCGCTCCGCAACCCCTCATGCCTATAAATACAAGCCTTAGGCCTCATTTTTTCAGATCTGGAGTTTTGGAGAATTGGCGAAGCCCTGCCAGAGTGAAGAGTGATCGAGCACTTCAACATAAGAGAGTTTCTTCGTCAGATCTACATCACCCGTACCCGATCCTTAGTATTATCCCGTTGTGGTAATACTAAGAAGAGCAAATATCTCGCTTTTATCGAGATAGGCGCTTCAAGTTTCTAGATCTCCTCGCGGATCGACGAAGCTCTGGATCAGATCTGATTGCCAGGTAGTCCACGGATATCGACGTCCCCGTCACAGGCTAAAGACCCACGCAAGCAAGAGACGACGAACGGATCTTGTGTTTATTTTCAAGAAAGTTGTAATTTTTATTTATTTGTTGTTTGAATTCATTTGTAACGTTTAAAGTTTAATGAAATCAATGATGAAGGCAACTTTCGACGAAAACACTCTGGCGACCACAGTGGGAGCCAACGGCCTCGCTGCCGAGGCCGTCGTGACGCAACCGGCCTTCAAGATCCGGGTGAACGAAGAGATCGAATACGAGTTCGATCAACAGAAGTTTGAAGAGTACCTCTCTTCCTCCTCCTCCAGATCCGCCTCTCCAAACAGGCGTAGGAATACTTCCTCTTCCAAGAGTGCTCGCGGGCCCTCAGGATCGAAGATCCAAGATCCCCTCGCCGCTATTGCACCTACTCCCCGCGACGCGGCTATGGCGTCTAACGTGGTCGAAGCTGCAGATCCAGATCTCCCTTCCGCCACAAAGTCAACCGCTGAAGGTGTTCCAACCTTGTCGAAGAGGGCGCGCCAAAGACGGCGTCAACGCCTTGCGCGACAGTTGGCTAAGGCCGCAGAATCGATGGACGGGATCCGTTACAATGAGGATCTAAAGTCCAGACAGCGTCAGGTGCAACAACAGCGAACAACTAACTCCTTCTCTAAAGCGGAGACAAATGAATGGGTCCGCGTCAAGAGGACTCGCTCCACTCTCGAAGAGCGAATCAAGAAACACCGCGCGTTGCTTGCGCATGCCCGAGTCCTTCTGCAGAAAGCGGAAGAGATGCAGAAAGAAGAGACGGTCAAGAAACTGTCAAAACACAAGCGGGTGTGGGTGCCAAAGGCGAAGCCGACGCCTAAGACAAAAGTGGACGGAAGTATCGTCCAACCTTCTTCAAATCCAGATCCCGTTTCCCCTGCTCCCGCACCTCCGGCGGAGCCAGGTAAGAACATGGATTCTTCAAGATCCAGGGTTCCTTTGAAAGATCGCCTCGGTCCTTTACCAGAAGATCGAGGCAAAGCACCTATCAAGGAATGATTGGGACCGTTGAAAGGTCCCCAAACAACGAACCGGACTGGGGGTCGTGTTAATCCCCCCAAGAAAGATAACAAAGGGAAAGCCTATGTTACCGACCGCATTGGATTGCGGGTCGAAGTTCAAGAGCCCGTTAAGTTTTCACGCTCGCAAAAGCGTAGACTTGAACGAACGACTTTTGAAAAGTACGAATCACAAATTTTGTGTTTGGTAGTAAGCTAGGTGTCATATTCCCATCCACTCATTCCAATTCTCAATCACTCGCCAACCCATGTGAATGTGGGTCCCGATTTCAATGGGTGCAGGGGAATATATCACCTCACTGCAAGCACAAAAACTTGTGCTTGATATCAAGCATACCCATTTTATGATTATTTTGCCTAATCTTGATAGGATTTTTTTTCCTAATCTTGATAGGAGTTTTTTGAAAAACACTACAGTCACACCCTTGGGCACACCCTCTGCCACACCCCCTCTCCTGCTACAGTGCAGGGGCCCACCTGAGATTTTTAAAAAAAATCTCAGGTGGGCCTCTCGAAAGAGAGACGCTCAAGACACGGGATCTCACTGTCCGTGTGCCAACATAATCAAGGCGGTACTGTTGGAATGCTGCTGCGCTAAAGCCCCAAGGAGAATTTTGGTGTTAGAAAGAATTTCCACCAGAACATCCGAAAACAAACCAAGGCGTTTCCATAGGAAGAAGCCTGTCCGCCAAGAAGACGAACTCCTAGAGGTGTCTGCTAATATGACCGGCAGAGGGAAATCGACATGACACTCTAACTCAGATCAGCTTGCCGAAGTATCCCAGCGCATGACTCGATTGCGGTCAGGGATTAATAGGCGAAAGAATTACCAAGGGATGCAAAAGGGACTTCCTTTGGAAGATGAGGTGTCAGATGATGGTTCAGATTCCTGCTCGGCTATAGCATCTGACGACACGGCGTCTAGTGCGGGACAGCCCTACGAATCACTTATGATCAGCGCCGAACAAGTAAGCAAGACCCCTATGCACTGTAACAGGAGAGGGGGTGTGGCTGAGGGTGTGCCCAAGGGTATGCCTGTAGTGCCACTCGAGTTTCTTTTTGGAACATTAGCAAATAATGTTCGTAAAACTTTAAGATAAGGGCCTAACGTGAGTCTGATAGGTGCCTTAAAGTTTAATGATAGGATTTCGCTTTACTAAGAAAATAACCTTTAATGGTCTTCGTTTTATAGAATTCAGCAAGGAAAATTTATATGGTTACTTTAGTCTTTCAAAATACCTAAACGATCAATGCGCATGAAAATGTCTGTCAGAAGCTTTTAAAGAAAAGTGTAATCGTCAACGGCCATTATTTATGTGGTAATACACAATTAGCCATTATTGTGTAACATGCTATAAGTTAGCTGGCATTTTTGTCATTGCCCACAAATTGCATATTACCTAAATATACTAGCTTGTTTTATTTGGACCAATACGGCAATACGTCAGTGGTCGTTATCTTTTCCTTTAATTAAAAAAAATTAAAACTACTTGTTGTGATTATTGAATATCTATTTTTCTTCACAATCTGCAAATTATCTGAAGAAACTGCTTTTTGAGGCTTTTTTGCACATATGCCCCTGAATGAGTCTACCTGACTACTATTGGAAAATAAGTGGGTCCTCCTTACAACTCTCTGAAACATTAGGAATAGTCTCTCATAAAATACGCATCCTATCAACTCTCTGAAACATTAGGAATAGTATTGTGCCCTCCGTATTAGCGTAATCATAGGGTCAAACTGATAGCATTGATTTAGGATCTGATAGCATTGACCTTCCTTATTTATAATTATTATTAATTAGAGGATTGTAATTAGCATTGATTTAGGATCTGATGTAATCCCTTGTACTCTATTTATACGCTCCTATTGTGAATGATAAAATTAACAATTTATTCATTCTCCTTCATTATATGGTATCAGAGACTTAGGTTACATTCTTTTTTCCGATCCTGCCTCACGCACACAACTCGCCTCAAGCCGGGGAGTATCAGCAGTTGGGACGACATGGAAGATATGTTTCTGACAAACTTCTTCGACGACGACACCGAGATTTCAATAGGCACTCTATTTGACGAGAAGCAGAAGAATGGTGAGACAGTCGAAAACTTCGTGAAGAGATTCCGAAATAAAACAATGAACTGCAGGGATCCGGTCAGCGAAGACTTTATCCTCGAGACCTGTCATAATAACCTTTCATTGGACATCCTCGAGGCCATGGGAATGGCACCGCCAAAGACCTGGAAGGATCTGAAGGTGCGAGGAGAACGAGCCGAACGATATTCTTTTTTCCGATCCTGCCTCACGCACACAACAGCCCTATCACCTCCGACTTTATGGCCAACAACACCAGCACCACCACCGATCTCACCGGCCAACTCCTTGTTACTACCAACTCCTCATCCCGACTGAACTTCCAGATTCAATCAATAAATGTCAAGCTCGATCGGACGGACTTCTCTTTATGGCGCAATACTGTTCTCCTGGCGCTTCAAGCCTTTGAGTTGGAGGCTCACATCCTGACTGATGACTCGTCTCCTCAATACAAACCTCAAACCGTCGACGTTACAACTCCTCCCGGGTCGAATTCAGAGTACATCACTTGGCGTCATTGTGACCGCTTTGTACTCCTCTGGCTTCGCTCAACTCTTTCTGAACGTGCACTCGCCACCATCGTTCGCGCTACCACCGCCCGTCAAGCCTGGACTACCATTGATCGAACATTTAAGGCTCAGTCTCGGGCCCGCCGAATGGCTCTCAAAAACCAACTTCAATCTCTCTTGAAGGGCTCTTTATCCATCATTGAGTACTTCGAAAAGAAACGTGCAATTGCAGATGCACTTGATGAGAATTTTCAACATATCTCAAATGAAGATCTCACTGGCTATATCTTGAACGGACTTGATAGTTTGTATGGCCCCTTTATTACCTCCTTCATGATGCGACCCGAAGAGACTAATGTTGATGATTTACTTGGTCTGCTGCTGTTAGAAGAAGAAAGGATTGAGTAGGAGAATCGACGTGATCAGCCACCATCTGATTCGCTACCGCCTCCAACTACTAGCTCGGTCATTGCTCCATCGGCCAACGCAGCCTACACCAATTTGCGTGGCAGATCTTCCTCCCACTACAACCCTCCTTTGCTCCGCCTTCCTCTGGTGTTTCGGAGGGTAGCCTTGGCCCAGATGGTACCATACGCAGGGCATTCAATATCAAATCTGTAACAAGATGGGACACATGGCGATTAATTACTACAATCGCAACAACCACACCGATTTTCCTACGCGTCCGCCACCTCCAAGAAACAACCATCGCTCATCTGACCGTCAGGATGAGCACTCTGCACACTATGCTTCCTCGTCCTCTCTTACGGATCCCGCCTGGTACTTTGACATGGGCTCTACAGATTATGTCTCTAATGACCTCAACTCACTGACTATTTCAGACGAGTATTGCAGGGATGACAACCTCTCTGTTGGTAATAGTAATCAATTGCTTATTTCTCATTTTGGCTCTACTATTTTGCTTACAAAGTCTATGTCTGTCAATTTAAAAAATATTCTTATTGTGCCTGATCTCACCAAAAACCTACTCAGCGTCTCAAAACTAAATCGAGATAACAACACCTACACGATTTTCTATCCTGATCATTGTGTTGTCAAGAATTTGCAGGGCAACACGATCCTCCACGGAACCGTTGATCACGGCCTCTACCGCCTCCATCAGCCACGACCACACTAACCTCCATCCTCCATCCACTTCGGGTCCCGCACCTCCCTACTTGGTTGGCATCATCGTCTGGCTCATCCTCATGAACACATCCTTCTTCGTCTAGTGTCTCAGTTTCAACTTCCTGTCAGCTTCAATAAATTTCCAAGTGTCTGTGATGCCCGTCAGTTAGGTAAGAGTCATCGTTTTCATCTTCCTAGTTCTCATGTTAGGTCTGATAAACCATTTGAATTAATCTACTCTGATGTTTGGGGTCCTGCTCCTGTGTTATCCTTAAATGGAAATCGGTATTTTGTGTTTTTCATTAATGATGCTACCAAATTTATATGGATCTACTTTTTGAATCACAAATCTTAAGTGTTCAATGTTTTCCAACAGTTTCGAGCAATGGTTCAAACACAAATTGGGACCTCTATCAAATGTCTTCAAACTGATTGGGGTGGTGAATTTTGAAATGTGTCAAGTTTCTTGCCTACTCATGGTATCCAATATAGAGTCTCTTGTCCTTACACAGAGGAACAAAATAGGGCTGCAGAGCGTAGAAATCGAATTATTGTAGAAAAAGGGTTAACTCTCCTAGCTCAATCATTATCTCCCTTCATCCTTTGGGAACATGTCTTTCATACCGCCACTTATCTCAATAACCGAACCGTCTCGTCTACTCTTAACTACACCTCTCCATACCAAAAACTTTACTCTAAAATCCCGGACTACGACTTCGTCAAAACCTTTGGTTGTCTATGTTACCCTTTCCTGCGTCCCTACAACCACCACAAAATGGATTTTCGGTCTCTTCCATGTGTCTTTATTGGGTTCAGTTCCAAACACAAAGGGTACCTCTGTCTCCATATTCCTACCTCCAGAACTTACATTGTTCGTCATGTAGTGTTCGATGAAGACGTATATCCATATGTCAATCAAGCCAGGGCGCTATCACCACCACCACCCTCCTCCGAATCCTCCCCCGCACCACCTGATCTACTTGAGCTCGCCGTAGCTGCACCTTCCCCATCACCTCCTCTAAACCATGATAGTGACCTATGTCCTACCACGACACTTGGCTCCCCGGTGTCACCCAACGCCACATCCACTCCACTCCTTACATTACCTACACCGCCTCCTCCTCCACATCGACCTTACCACAATGCTCCTACCTATTTTCGTCCTTCCGACACCACCACTCACACAATGACCACCCGAGCCCACACAAATTCATTGCAACCCAAAACCTTCGCCACCACTCGCTATCTGATCTCCAATGATCCACTTCCCCTTCCCGACAAAGAACCTACCACCTTTGGTCAGGCCAACAAGCATCTTTGTTGGCAACAGGCAATGTAGGCCGAATATAAGGCTTTAATGAGCAATAACACTTGGTCACTTGTACCCCGTCCCCGTGATACTAATCTTGTTGGTTGTAAGTGGGTTTACAGGATCAAGAGGAATGCTAATGGTTCAATTGAGCGGTACAAGGTGTTTTCGGTAAAAGTTGCCTTCATTGCTGAATTCATTATAATATTAATCGTTTACAATGAATTCGAATTTTAACAAAAGAAAATGAAAGATTACAACTTTCTCGAAAATAACGCAAGATCCGTTCATCGTTTCTTGCTTGCGTGGGTCTTTAGCCGGTGACGGGGACGTCGATATCCGTGGACTACCTGACAATCAGATCAGATCCAGAACTCCGTCGATTCGTGAAGGAATCTAGAAGCAGAAGCGCTTATCTCGGCAACGGTGAGATAATTGCTCTTCTTAGGATTATCGCAACAGGATAATCCTAAGGAACGGATGCGGGTGAAGCAGATCTGAAGAATCTCTCTCTCTCTCTTGTGTTGAAGAACTCGATCAATCTTCAGTCTGGCAGGGCTTCGCCAATTCTACAAAATTCTAGATCTCTAAAAATGAAGGCCCTGGGGCTTTATTTATAGGCTCTAGGAAGTCCGGACGGTTAAAACTGCATAACAATGAAAAGAATAACTTTTTAGGGCTGCGGACATCCTTAGGTGTCTCAGCGAGAATGGAGACACCCTTGTTCGGGTGGAGACACCCTTGCTCGGGTGGAGACACCCTTGGGTGTCTCAGCGAGAATGGAGACACCCTTGCTCGGGTGGAGACACCCTTGCTCGGGTGGAGACACCCTTGGGTGTCTCAGCGAGAATGGAGACACCCTTACTCGGGTGGAGACACCATTGGGTGTCTCAGCGAGAAAGGACACACCCTTGCTTGGGTGGAGACACCCTTGCTCGGGTGGAGACACCCTTGCGTGTCTCAGCGAGAATGGAGACACCCTTGCTCGGGTGGAGACACCCTTGCTCGGGTGGAGACACCCTTGCTCGGGTGGAGACACCCTTGGACACCCTTGCTCGGGTGGAGACACCCTTGCGTGTCTCAGCGAGAATGGAGACACCCTTGCTCGGGTGGAGACACCCTTGCTCGGGTGGAGACACCCTTGCTCGGGTGGAGACACCCTTGCTCGGGTGGAGACACCCTTGCTCGGGTGGAGACACCCTTGCTCGGGTGGAGACACCCTTGCTCGGGTGGAGACACCCTTGCTCGGGTGGAGACACCCTTGCTCGGGTGGAGACACCCTTGCTCGGGTGGAGACACCCTTGCTCGGGTGGAGACACCCTTGCTCGGGTGGAGACACCCTTGCTCGGGTGGAGACACCCTTGCTCGGGTGGAGACACCCTTGCTCGGGTGGAGACACCCTTGCTCGGGTGGAGACACCCTTGCTCGGGTGGAGACACCCTTGGGTGTCTCAGCGAGAATGGAGACACCCTTGGGTGTCTCGGCTCGGGCCGAGACACTTTGGGGTGTCTTAGCTTAGGCTGAGACAGTTCGTTTTGCGTGCTCGTCCATTTCCTCCGTAACTTCTTCATCTGAACTCGGATTTGAGTGATTCAAAGTACGTTGAAAAGCCGGCGAGGAGACCTATAAGCTCTGATGATGAGATCATTGTGAATTAAACTGGGATAGGAGCGTCGTTTCGTCTTTTGTAAGCAACGTAGGACTCCCGATCAGTTCGTGTCTTCGTTATTCTGAAATTCTGTTACTTTACGTAGTTCGTCGATTCACTTCAAGCATTCATCGATGTCAATCAAGCTTCTGTGACTTGGATAGTGATGTTCCTCACCTCCTCTTAGCTTTGAGCTGCTCACGGAGCTTCTGTGACTTGGATAGTGATGTTCCTCACCTCCTCTTAGCTTTGAGCTGCTCACGGAGACCTATAGGTAATTTTCAATGCCTACAGATACCCCCTCCAAAGCGTTCCGGACTCGTTTCTTTTATAGAAGAGGCTGGAATACTTTGGATGTGATTGGTTCAGTCTTCGATCGGTGTAAAGGATCTGTAGTTAGCTTCGACTCTTGGCTCCTTCGATTTTCAGTCTATTCGATGCTTTAACGAATAGCTTAAGTCCTTCCGACGCTGCGTTTATTGTCTGGCTTTCGTCGGAGTTTCGAGTCTAAAACTGATGAGTTGAGTTCGGTTCGTGTCATTGCGTTGACCTAGAACTGACCCTCTCCGTCGCATCGATTCTTTCATTACAATGCATTGATTGGCGTTGACCTAGGGTTACACGTTGACCGGCGTTGACCTTAGGGTTTAAATCGTCTTATGTTGACTTTTGATTGCAACACGTTGACTGGCGTTGACCTAGGGTTACGCGTCGACCAGCGTTAACCTTAGGGTTTTGATCGCCCGACGTTGACTTTTGATCACAATGCGTTGACTGGCGTTGACCTTGGGTTATGCGTTGATCGGCGTTGACCCTAGGATTTTGATCGCCCGACGTTGACTTTTGATCGCCACGCGTTGACTGGCGTTGACCTAGGGTTATGCATTGACCGGCGTTGACCCTAGGGTTTTGATCGCCTAACGTTGACTTTTGATTGCAACGCGTTGGCCCGCGTTGACCTAGGGCTACGCGTTGATCCGGCGTTCACCTTAGGGTTTAAATCGTCTTATGTTGACTTTTGATTGTAACGTGTTGACTAGCGTTGACCTAGGGTTACGCGTTGATCGGCGTCAACCTTAGGGTTTTGATCGCCCGACGTTGACTTTTGATCGTAACACGTTGACTGGCGTTGACCTAGGGTTATGTGTTGATCGGCGTTGACCCTAGGGTTTTGATCGCCTGACGTTGACTTTTGATCGTAACACGTTAACCGGCGTTGACCTAGGGCTACGCAATGATCCGGCGTTGACCTTAGGGTTTTGCGTTGATCGGCGTTGACCCTAGGGTTTTGATCTCCCGACGTTGACTTTTGATCGCAACGTG